ACTATTACCCTTGAAATATTTAAAATTAATTATTTTCAACTCAATCCTTTTATTGTACTATGTTATATTATAGATATACCAGTAACAAAAAACATAATACCTACATTTAATACTACCCTTAAAAAAATAATATAATTACTATAAATCTTGAGAAAATATTCCCAAAAAATATGTTGTCAAGTAAAACAACAGTTTTATACTAATTATTACATAATATCGACTAGGTATAATAAGTTTTAAACAAAATTATATTTGAATGTATGAACTATAAAATAAGATTTATTTAGGTCTTTAAAAAAATGTTAACTTGTTATTTACCTAGTATCTACTATCTACATAGAATTTATAATACAACATAATATTATGGAAAACGATATACATTTTAAATGCACAGTAAAATATAAGCAAAGCGATGTTGTTAAATTTGCTTATGAAATAAAATACTTTGGGTGGTCTAGTAATAAATAATGTTGCATTGAACTTTCTGAGATGTAAACATTTTAAACGTTTGAGTTGTAAACGTTTAGTGCTGTGAATAAAATGACTATTATGTGATAAAAAGGATGCAACTTTCGACTATATATTATCTGATTTAAAATTTAATATTATACAAAACCAACAAGTAATAATATGCAAAATAGCGTAAATTATTCACGTTTCCGATAACATATGCATTTAATTTCGACTGAATGCAAACTTTGTATAAAATTCGGTGAAAAGGGAATAGAGTTCTATTAATAATGCAAGTTGGCGGCGTGACATTTGAATTTCAATAAAATCTAGTATAAGCATATTAAATCTCGATGACTTCATGTGTCTGCATTGAATATTTTATTCTTGTAAAAAACAAAATTAGATGTTCTTAATGATGTTACAATATAAAACTGTGGTTTTAATCGCGAATCTACTAGAACTAGCCTAGGTACTCGGAGTTCATATCGAGGTTAGACAAATGGTCAACCCAAATTAAAATTGGTGTGGGATACTTTCTATTGAAATTTGGAAATTATATAATTTAAAATTAGAATCGTGTTACAATAGTAGTCGGTTTTTTATACTATATTGTCTTTATGCGGTTATTTTAATGTCTCAATCGGCACCGTAATGGCCACCACCACCGCATAGCATAATAACTAACAACCGAAAACGTCGCACCCGCAGCAGTAAAAATGGCTGTTCCCGGTTTCGGTGAAAAGGAACCCCATTTACTTGTTTATTCGGGTTAGGTTTTACTTAAACAAAAGTGCCCTATACATATATATATATAATAAATATGTGTACATACTTTTGCTTAGGAATGTATGTAAATATGAACTACACATTCCGAATTCGGGGCACGACCAAGCGGATGCGCCTAATGGTATCCGTGAGATCGCGGGAAACCCCTAGGCTATCCGGTGTCGCATACACTTCTATAATGACACACCTTTTTCTTTCTGGCTCCGTCCCTGTCTTTCCCGCAAGTCTTGTTCACTCTCGCTTTTTCGTTCGCTTTTTTGAAATGTAATTTTCCCCATCAAGCTTTCCGTGACAATGGAGCAGCATGGGTTGTTTTGGCCAAGCTATTGTCCTTAGCTGTATGCGCTCACGTCGCACGCTAGTATCGATTCTGTTCTGTAAGTATGCGTGTGCATGTTTATTTTTTATGTTTGCTCGACGATTAAATATCATAATCATAATGAATTTAAGTCCTGTGTGCGACCCGTATTGACGACTCCAAGGCCGCACAGCCACCGGCATGCGTGTAGATTTTCCTGCCGTGGCGGCGAGGGGAAACGAGAATTTAAAGGTTAACTATTAATAAAAACGCCAAGTATAATAGTTTATAACTGAACTGTTACCTATACATAATATATTATAAGATGGCCATGGGTGCCATCGGCCGATGAGAGTTGATCGCGGTGACAGTCAAATACACACAATGCCGGCGACTATGTATGGATACGGCAATCCTATCACATCGATTACCCTAGCTGTGACGTTTGGCTTTGTCGTTGACCGTTCAGGGTAAAAAAGCAATGGTGCGCGATGCGCTCACACAAACGGCAATATATATATCATAAAATAGATTTTAGAAACTAATAATTATTATTGTCCCGGTAGACGGGTAAGCAATTATATTTCTCCGATGCCCCATTGAAATTGTCGATAGCAGGTACGTTGCTATATTATCTATTGTAGAAAAAATTAACTTTTTTTTATTTCTCTCTGAGCCCCGTATTTGCTGCTACGTTCCCGGCCAGGTTATTTTAATCTATACTGTATAATATAACCGATGTGAATGAAAGTACAACATAATTATAAGTATACCTGTCTACACGGAAACGAGGTCTGACCGTGGTCGGCGGTCGAGTGTGATAACGTAAAAAAGTTTACGACCATATTGTAATAATATGATAATATATTCAAAGAGCACAGTATTCAATATATACACAGACGGGTGACGCGTGTGGTTGACTTAAAATATAATGTATATGTTTAGGCATTCGGGTCTGTTTAATTAGGAAATTCACCGCAGACGGGTTTTTGCGCGTTTTAATTATTACAACAGATATTATCTAAGAGGGGAGTTTAAAAAAAAAGAGCAACGATAATTTTATTATTTTTATACCTTTCTCTCGTTGTGTATATTTAGTTTATTAAAACAAAAATCCAATATAGACATGATGTTTACTTATGCTTAGCAAGTGTGGTGCACAATTTATGGTAATTACCGGTTTCAGGTCAACTCCACGAGAGATGCCGTAAATACACACACATATAATTATAAAATTCTCTCATAATACTCTAGGTACAGGGTTTATGATGTATCAAAAAATGGCAAAAAAATTACAAATGGAATAAAAAACGTTCAAAAAGTTTCAATTGTTCAAAAATTGTATTTAAATATTTCCAAAATAATCCACCAAAATAATTTTTTAAACATAATTTATCTAAAATATCACACAACAATTTTTAAAATGTATAATAATAAAATTAAATATTATTCTTGAGTAAAACATATTGAAAATATCAATGTTCCGATTTTGCTTATTGGGTACACATTATTGAATTTTAGAAATGTACAAAATATAATCATTTAATTTCTTTAAATAGATTAAAATCAATCGAAATAAACAACCTGAGCCGTAGGGCAACCGATGTAAGCTGTTGACTAGGACTGTGATTTCCTTAGTAGCAATTCTGACACCAGATCGGAAATGCTATGACCAACAGGTTAATTTTTGCATTTTTACATTTTTTTTACATTTTTTCTAATAGTAAACAATAAAAAGCCAGCACAGTGGGGTCGGTGCATAGTGGTGGCGAAGCATATAGAGATCCTAGGTCTTCAGGAATTCCGTATCGGTCGATGGTAGAAATAGTGAATATCGATAGAAAACGCATGGGCCTCGTCATTAGTATGATATAGATTAACTGAGTTTTCGTTAGGTAGGTAGAGGAAAAGAGGAGGTGATGGTTAGGTTAGTTTCCACTTACAGGTTTACACATTGTTCATCGACCCAATATTATTTTATCATTATTATTTGAATGGAAATATGTTTCACTAAAATATTCCCATTATACGCATTATAATATTCGCATTGTTCATCATACTGTACAAATAGAATAGGATTTTACAGAAATAGTGTTGCAAAACGCAAACAATTTCACAAAAATACTATAATATAGTTTTCATGAATATAACATAATATCAAACGGTATGTACAAATCGCTTTTAAAAATATTTCTGTATTCTTTAAAACTGATTGTGTGTGTCACGGGATCTTGAGTGTACTCAACAACTTCCCAAAGTTTCATGGTGATCGGATGAATGGTGTACTAATGCATAAAGGTCAGACAAAGAGGGAATCGCTAAGCTGAGGTGAATTGAGCCGACGAGCCACGAGCCTAACCTAACCGGTCCCGTACCGCGCCAATAACATATTGTATATTTTCATCAAAGATTATCGCACGATTTTTAAAATTAAGTCGACAAAGTACAACTACCCAACACCTCTCGTTGCACAAAATTGTCCATGGAAAATCGTCTATTGTTCACATAAAACAAAAACTACTCGGAGAGATGAAATAAACGAGATATTTCAACACCGTGCCTGTCTCACTGAAATTCATTAATTAAAAATTGCTCGAAACTTTTAACTCTCCGAAGACCTTTTAGAAGCTAAAATATAAATGGTTGATTATTTGTAATGATAATTTGTAGCGTGCCTTCTTGAGTGATTAGTTTATAATAATGGCACTTACTTCTAATGCATATAGGTGAATACCAATACATAGATATAGATATTAAAACGATTATTTTTTTAATTAAACAAAAACGAAAATTATATTTTGTTACCATTAATTAAAAATAAACAATATATTTATGTGATTGTATACTTAATTTAGTGTGCTAAGCCATAGATTAAAGCTTTGCCTAATATCTTCTTGTAATAATATCTAATTTAAGAATTTTCTCTGTACAATTTTTCTCTACATGTTATGTAATAGTCTTTAAGTTCAAAGCGAAATAATTTTATTTATTTTATGAAGTATTTTATACAATAAAGTGTTGATTACAAACTGTCTTTTTAATGACAATTTACGAGATAGTAAAACGTTGACTACGTTCTGCTCTGGATGACGACGTTTCTCCTCGACATTTTTCAATAGTTGGCCAGTTTCTTTACTGTACTAAAAAAAACTGCGGTTGTTTACAGTCGTTTTTCTTTCTTTATTCTTAAAAAAAAAAAACTATAGTTCTATATTATAATCGTATATAAGAGCTGAAATGTCACCTTTAATAACATAAAAACCTTTGTGGCACACAATAAAAAAGTAAAGCGTACTGCATTCAACGGGATTGAGCAATAGTTTTTTATTTTTTTAAAACTTTTTTCATAGTTCTTTTCTTAACGGTTCGCAGAATTCAGAAGGCGTTTTGCATATTAGCAAATGAATTCTCGGCGACAAGTAGAATATAAATAATTATTTGTTGTTCTCGGCTTGTATTCCAGGTGACGGGCCGGCTGTCTAAACCGACCCATAAACCGTTGCTCACATAATTTACAACTACCGCACAGCGTCGCCACTGTGAATGGAAATTATTATACCGTCGCTTTAGCACTTTTGCCGGTGTTTGTTGCAGCGAAACATCCGATTAAAAGTCTTTTGCAACGGCCCGGCCAAACTGAGCACGAAGGTATATTGTTTTATTTACTTTTAATTAAACAATACATTCCCACGCATACAACATCCCGTAGGTCTGTATGGTAATGTACAGAATATCGCAAACGTACGTATAAAAATTAGCGTTTTATCCGGAAAAACTAATATTGATAAAGTTAAACGTTTTCATAACACTATTGTGCTTACGTTCGTTGTAAACTGTTTACCTTAATGCTAACATTTATTCCTCTTTTTTTTTTTGCGATTAAAATCCATGGCGTTAACAGGAATTTATACTAAGAGGTAAAATGGTACATAGTGTTTACTCGAAAGTATTTTGATAAAGATTCAAAGACAGCTTTAAACCGTCTTGTTTGTTTTTAATAGTCCTTAAGTGTTGAAGTTTGGAGAAACTCACACAAAATAGTGTGATTTATTCTATGTCGTAGGTTTTGCTGTTTTCTCTAATATATATATATATATATTTTTTTTACTTTGTTAAAATTCGCTTTTTTATTGTTTTTATAAAAAAACTTCAACGACAGTAAAAAATAAAATAAAAACACTGTTTCAGAAAATTCACGACGAACGACGTATACATTATTTTTCAAGCAAAAACAAAATTCTAATATTCAATGACCATTACAAATAAATTAAACCAGTACAGTCTATAATATTAGTCTGGTCATTTTCGGTTCTACCCAACTCCATTTTCAGAGGAATAGTCACCGTTCTGCTGTACGTTAAAACCTAAAAAGTAATTTTAATGTATACGTTAACGCTTAAATAGAAAATGCAATTTTGGCGTTTGAACTTAGATAAGATGTTGAGAATTTATTTCACTTCAGTTGTTCGCATGATGTCTGTATAGGCGTATCGAAAATGTCGATTGAAACTTTTTACGATGCAAGTCGCTTTTTATCTATCAATACACACTTGAGACATATGACTTACTTAGGTTTTCATTCAGTTTTCACAAAACTTTCTACCCACTTATCTGTGTGGTGGTAGTGATTTTGAACACAAAATGCGGTTCTGTTATGAAAAACATATAATATATATTTTTTTTTTCCGCCGAGTTTTATACAATACTAAGAATTCCGAACGATTTTTTAATGTATAATACTTTTAACACGTTTTACTGTGCTCGGACTCCCGAGAACAAACTTCGATCTGAAAGTTCCTAAGGTCGCGACTTCCGACTTACAACAAACTTTGACAAATGACAATTTTCCAAAGACGGGCAACATGCTACACACAATATTATTATTCCGTGCGTATTACTAGTCCATGTGTATGGTTACCATTTTATATTTTTACTTATACGTTATACAGCCGCAACACACCGCCTGTTCGACATCTGTGTAATACTGTTTTTACATAATTGAAGCTGCATGTATTATTATTATTGTATTCCACACAGCAATAATGTATTTTAATAATATTTTATCGTAATTGTCAACAAAGGCTTTGCATCGCGTTTTGGCAGATAATTATAAATAAACAATCAATATCACAAATGCTTCAAACATATTTCCTAAATAATATACATTTAAAAATATAAATTAATTATTGACCATTTATAAAATTAATATTTTATAATTTATACTTTTAATATTATTTTCTATCAAACCTCAAAAAGATAATATTTATATGCTGCGTGGGATAGGTATAATCAGTATCGCGTATTACATCTAACTCGACCCCTGTAAAAGTTTTACTTAAGTGTACAAAGAAAAAAAAGTTACTTTAAATATATCGTTTTTAATCACACTCATCGAATGTAACTTTTATAGTTGGAACGACAATTTAATATATATTTTATTCACACACTATTAAAGATAGACATCTAATTAATATTATACAGAAGCCTTAAACTTTTTTTTGTTGTTTAGTTAGTTTAAAGACACATCACCTAATTTTTGATAAAATGTCATCATCGTATTATATAAATATTACATTTTAATGAAGCATTTGTACATGCTAAAAGCTCAACGTTCTTATACATTTCGTTCTCGGTAGAAACACATTTTGCCAATTGGCGCGTATCAAGCAGCTAATGCATGGAATAATATTATATTTGCTTTAGTTCAACATACGTTCTATAATTGGGTTAAACAAGCTAATGTCATAAATTGCAATTAATCGACTGCTAATATATATTTGAGTTAAGTTGAACTTTATGTATCCACTCAAATCGAAACTTCTTGTGAGTTAATGGCTAATACTGTTCTATATAATAGTAGTTGTCTCGTCGTATATATTATAGAAATGCTTTGTTGTTTATTCTTCATTGTTCGTCTTAACATGTGTTTTACAATGTACGATTTCAGACGGAGGCAAACATTCCGTATAGTAGAGATCGATTTTCATTACTTATCAAATCACATATTTACTTGATATGGTCCAACCAAAAGTGTATACAAAAATGTCGGGCAAACGATACCATCGTATTATACTCGAGTATCGGTTTTGTGTTTCACGCGTCGAATAAACGATATACATAATATATATATATAACATTATCTTTGTCTAGTGTAGAGCGTGCTGTCGTTCTTAAAATTATATTGCACTTCAAAGTTCCGTTCAACGCTTATAAATGGAGACCACGGTTATTGGCTGTGTATAATATTAGCTTTCATAGGTAGGTATTTTGCAGTTCCTCCTCTGGACTCTGCATCTAGAGTGTCTATACCAACGAAAAATGGTCTTATAATGCGCGAGATAATTTTTTATAATATTATAGTTTCTGTACAATACAAACATGCTATTCATTTGTACACGTTTCGACGATGAATATCAGTTTTCACGTGCATTTTAATCAAAGCACAAAATCGGGCTAATGCGTTTCTCGGCTGATTGTTGCTATAATAACGTCACGCTATACATACTATATGCATATAATACTATAGGTATACTATGCATATATTGACTTAATACAATGACGCATCACTAGTTGCCGCAGGGAATTCCACAACATTAAGAGCATAATTATTATATAGGTGTACATATAATATAGTTTACAATGTTGGGTGGAATTTTGACTTCGGTTCACCCGAATGGTTATCATTCTACGTCGTATTCATTATTTCCCCGATGTGCACATTATATAGAATAAATTAGTAGTTGTATATTATAATGTTGGAGACATTTCCCCGCTAAGGTGAAACTAGCAATTGGGTCTATACCTACGCACGTACGAGAAATTTAATAATGGTCGTTTAATAGTAAATATTGTTACTGCGTTGTCCCAAAGTTTTATGATAATACACATATAATTAATACATTTTTTTTTTAATTTTAATTTTTTGGTTTTATACACCTGTTACCTAACGAAAAAAAGCTATAATTTTTTTTTTTATTGAAATTGATTATACATTTATATATTTATTATTTATTATATGACGTCAACAAAATTATAAATCAACGTTTGTTATCTACACCGGTTTTACGTTATGAATTTATATTTTAAATTAGCTGTTGTGCAATCCGAGATGTCAGATTTTATTAATAGAATAAATTGAAGCATAGAGCTTGATTTTCGCCTCCCAACCATCGCTATGTATATTATTTGTGCTAAATACTATATTAATAAAATTAAAAAAAAAATTGTCGATTATTTTGTAGAAATATTACTTTTTTTGTATCAAAGCAATAGATTTAGAGTAAACGATATAGAAGTGTAGAGGATAATCCAATTTTTAAATTAAAAATAATTTACCATAAATTTTTGATTGGTCGATAACCAGTTATGAATAACTACTTTATAAAAATTGTAATTTACACTCCACCATTCCTCCCGTACTAAATTTTAAACTTTAATGACTTAAAATTAAAACTGGTTTTCAACTTGTAACAGTGTTCTGTAATTATTTTAATTTTAAAAAGTAAATTAAATACAACGTTTTCGTTAGTTTCAAAAGTCGATACCAGTTCAAGAGCATTGAACAAACTGGTCAATAAATTATGCATAACACTTACTATGTATATTATTTATATACATTTTAGTTTTCAGTTTCTCGTTTTATTTATTTATTTTTAGAAGTTGTTAGTCATTATGATACTCCAATGTTGAGCTCTTCTTCGAATAAGCTACAGATATTTATAAAAAAACAAGTTGTACCTGCAGTTAAAATAAAAACAAGTTTTGCGTGTGCTATTTACGGTCACATCGATTTTATTTTTATGAGAACGAGTCAGAAACAAATAAGGAACACAATTTTTACCCTTAGGTAACACGAAAGCAGAGATGGGCAGAATTATTAATCCCGGATTACTGTATTTTTTTAAAATTAATCCAAGTAATCCCGGATTACTGGATTATTTTGTAATTAATCCAAGTAATTCCGGATTACTTGGATTAAAAATAATCCAATACGGATTACAGTAATCCCGGATTACTGGATTATTTTTGAATTAATCCAAGTAATCCGTTATACAAAATGACGGATTTATGGATTACAATTAATAAATAATTAGTATACTCTGCCCTAGTAGGTACTTTAACAAAGCTCAAGTTTATCTAGCTTAAACACATTTTATACAACAACACTTTTTTGTCAATTTGTTAAATTTTTTAAATAAATTATTTTGTTATTATTGTTTAATTTTATAATCTGAAAAATATGATATCATACCATAATCAAGTTAACATTTTACATTTAAAATTTTGAAATCTTTAGACTTTTGTATGCAGAAATCGGCTCAGCGGTTTAGTTTTACTCCTAGTAAAAATAAAACACATTATTGTAAAAACAATACCTCCCAGCTCCGTATAAAAGAAAAAAATGATTTAAATACATTTTAATTTAAAAAAAATATTATTTAAGTACAATGTTTTGGATTACTGGAATGAAAAAAAAAACAGTAATCTTTAAATTTGGGTTATTGGAATAAAACAAAAATCCTAAATTAATAATGTAATCCGTAATCCGTATACTAGGGATTACTGGATTAATAAGGTAATCCGTAATCCGTATACTAGGGATTACTGGATTAATAATGTAATCCGTAATCCGAAACTCGGGATTACTGAAATAAAATAATCCAAACTTTTTTAATTCTGGATTAATAATGTAATCCGTAATCCGTATACTAGGGATTACTGGATTACTAATGTAATCCGTAATCCGTTAACTAAGGATTACTGGATTAAATTTAATCCTTTATCCAAAAATGTAGGATTACTGAATTAAATGTAATCCAGTTTTTTATTAATCGTGGATTACTCGTAATCCGTAATCCGTCTGTAATCGATTACGGATTGTAATCCATTTTGCCCATCTCTGCACGAAAGTTACTAATATTATTTGCTAATTGAACAACTACAAAATGGAAACATAGTTTGGTTATTTTATGTATTATCTGTGAAACATTTTACATTTCCCACACATATATTTTAAATTGCTTTAGTAGGTACATAAGTCATTAATTTAACAGTGATGAAAATTACTACAAAATGTACTATATTTTTTTAAGCAATATTGAGCTAGGTGTATTTGATTTCCTCGTAAAGTATATTTTTGAATTTTTATTCTTTTTAAAAATCGTATTTACTCGATACTTTTGATGTTTAAGAGTTTGTCCATTTTATATTAGGCGTACGTTCAATGCATTCTGTGAGCGCTTTAATTAAACGTATGCAGTGGCCAATTCGGTCGCACGTACGCAGACACAAACAAAACCAATTTAACAATAGTATGTTCGTCGAAACCTAAATTATTGATAGAATCGAATAGAATTTATTTTTAATGAAATGTGTATTTTATCGATTTCAAAAACATATACGTTCACCAACATCAAACCGTGAACATTGCGGGACAACTCGGTGATGGCGAATGCTATTTTTCGGCACAGCGTGTTGCCCGTTGGGTTACCTATTAGTTACAATCCCTCTGACAAAATGCATCGTTCGCAATAACCGGACATCCGATTGTTATTCCTAAAACGATCCGGTCGTACGTCCACTAGAGGTCTGGCGGGCAGCGGAACGATCATCATCTTATATGCACCATGTATTGTAAAACTTGTAAGTGCTATATTATATTGTTATGTCGGTTTGGCAGACGTCTGGGGTTCGTGTATACGTCACACATTTGTCGGCGCCGGACGATGATGTTGGCGGCACGCTTTGTGTGTACAATACAACAACATAATAATATAATATACACACACACACTCACACGGTATAATATTAACATTATTTATGGTGTTGGTACCGAAACGGTATTAAGCCGAGTTTATCGTGGTAAACGGTTTAAATCGTGGCCCGACGTTCTTACGACCTTAAAAAAAAAAAATAAATAAATAAGAACGTTAAACCCGTCGTTACCAGCTGTTATGGTACCATTACGCCTGGTTAGATATACATTGCTCTATATTTGTTGCGGTTATGCATAACTCCTTTTTTTTTTTTTTTATACTGCTACTGTGGTGGACGAACTGTCGCTAGTCACGATACAACTGCCAACCGAGGTCAGTGGGAAAAATAAAAATAAATGTAAAACCCCGGATAATAATCGCGTTACAGGCGTGTCGAGAGATAAACGCCGAAAACGTCTCCGCCGGTGGCGATGATGATTAATAAAATACAACCCCAACTGCAGAGGTGCGCGGTGCTTTTGTTCAGCCCGTAAACAACACAGCGTGACCAATAGAAAACCGAACGGTATTCCTTTTGTTCGAATTAGATCAAAATTGGGCACGTATCGCACGACATCAATGAGAGAGATATTAATAACCGTACTGCCGGTGTGCGGTCGGGTTCGCTGTGTTCCAAAAAGCCGAAGCCCGTGTTGAAACGTATAAAACAATAATATATAGTAGGCGGCACCGCATTGGCGTATAATAATATACACACAGTACTGAGTATAGACCGAGTATTGGACCGTTCCAATAAATTACACTTGTGGATTCGAGTTATCTTAAGGGTCGTACGGTTGGTTTTACACGCAACCGCCGTACCTATATCAAATGTGTATTGTTGGCCGTTCCGCAAGAGTGCAAATCAATACCCCAAAGCTCGCATATCATACCTTTATAATAATAACGTATTATGTACGCATGTATAAATATTATATTTCGTTAAAAATCCAAATTGCACGTTTCTGCGAGTTAACGTGCAAGTGCGGAAGTAGTGCGTCGACCGTACCGGTTAGGGTTGGATGTCAAAGCTTTGCATTTTCGTTCGTAGCACAATACTTGTTTTACCGTCTTAGATGCCCTTATCAAAGCTACAGCGCACCCTATAAACTATCCGGTGAAACTGTTGAGTAAACCCACTCGGAGTAACCCTATTCGGCCGCCGCATTGATTGTATCAGCACTTTGGGTTGATTTCGATTGTTTTTGCTTAAAACTAATTAGAATTTACTTATCTTATGCTCATATTTTATCGGAAGTCACTAAATCCAAAGTTGGTCCTTCAGAAAGTTGGCTTCAGAGCCCGGATTGTACATTAAACACAATATTTTGCCAGAAATTTCACTGCGAGAATAGAATGTGTTCTAATAAATAAGTTTCCGAATAAAAACAAAAACTTTAGAGAAAAAACAAATTACTTTTTTTTTATTGGCTCAAGAAAGCCACATGCCGCAACAGCAGCTATCGCATGTCCCCTAGTCTTTTATGGGTTGTCAACTTTTACTAATAATTGCACATCCTGCTGCGCTGCCTCGGTCGTCCTATAGAGATCTTCCATCTGTATATTGTGTGCTTTCGTGTTACGTGTAGTGGTTGATTTATTATTCTACATTCTGCGAGCCGTGCACGCCTGGCTATTGCACGCATTGTCAATTCATCTGTTGTTGTTCGTTTAACAAGTAATATTGAAAACATTATTTGTTCCGTACACGCGTGTTTTTCTAAATTTATTCCTCTTAGTTCTGAATAATATAGGTCGGAATAGGTTTTGCCAACTATTTTTTTTACCATTGTTTTAAGTTTACTTTATTACTAGGCATTTTCTAATATTTGATGTAGCTCGAGATTTGTGTTCTGCGCTCGTTTGGAGTTTCAAGTACAGACCAGCGCCCGTAAAATGTGCAGATGAACCGCATTTGCGCAAAATGAAAACCCAACTAATAGACAAAACCGTACTTCTCCGGAACGTAGTTATAGAAATTGCAACATTGGCAATTTACAATAATACCATGGTTTCAGTTAACTCCGACGAATAAGGCGCAGAGAAAGTTTAACGCTGATGTGGAATAATAAGTTTGACGTGTTTTTCTTTGCCTTAACGTCTTCCAAGAAGATTCTCTCATACGCGCGCACAATAAAGTAAAGCATTAGTCCAAAAGAACGCACATTGCCTGTACCGTCTTTTGATGTGTCTTCCATAACTACAGCTTCTGATACTACTGATACGTGTTCGGAATCGTATATTATAACTTGAACGTCACGTAATAACTGTCACATCAAAATTGACAAGCCGTGCAATGCGTTTGCGTACGAATTCGTTAAAATGAATATTAGTAGGTACAACTCTTGAGAGCGTGTTCGGATGAATATAATTCAAACGATTAATAACAATGAAAACATATCGACCGGCAATAAATTTCTGGACATTGTAGTAAATCTTAAAACCGAGTTTTGATTGTAAGCGTTTGACGTCAGACACACGTACACGTTTAATATGTTTGAGAATATGTATTAAATTTTAAACTATCGTTTCGCAGAGTATCGTCGTTTAGGAACGATGGATTAAGCTACCTATAACCGTTCGAGGATTAACGATTTAAAGTATCGCTCTTGTCGTCTTTTCGGGTAAACCGCGATTTAAGATAATATGGTTGTCCGACCGCTTGTGATAAAGTGACTGCCGAAGGTAATCCTATAGACACCTGGTACTCGATTAAAAAACAGCGCGCTGTGATGGACAATAGTCGGGACTCGTGTATATAGGTACGTGTAATATGGGACATTTTTCTAAAAACCTCTACAGTTTTAAAACGAATGGTTTTATCCATTTTTTGTACATCAAACATCTTGTCGAGAATAAATAAAAATTTTAGTTTTACATTTTTCAATGCTTTCTTATGGGAGAATCTCCCGACATTAGTTTGTCAGCTGTCCGGATTATGCGCCCTATGTACCTATGTCTATAGAAATTGTAAACTCTCGAGCGGACAACATTTTCAACTTTACGATGCATTACGATTGGTTGTTGTCTCGAATGAAGGATAGGAGTGCTAGTAGTTAATCGAAACAGATTTTTTTTTGTATTAACTTCGTGGCCGTAAAATGAGAGTGTTGTCATGGGCCGTCGGGCAAACATGTTATCTTAAATGGCGGGACAATTAAGACAATAAGACAATTGATGCAACGTACATTTTAAATAATAAAAATGATATAACTGTTTTTTCAGGAAATCGGAGCCATGTGATCGCCGGAAAACAGTCGTCGGGCCACCATGGATCCGATCTGGTGGTACGAGGTACAAGAGTCGGGCAGCACCAAGACTAGCAACGGGACATGCGCGACCACTGGTCAGACCAACAAGACCAATGGCTGTTCGGCGGCGGCCGTGGGCCCGGTGCTGATACTGAAGACCGTGGCCATGTGTTCGATAATACTGTGCGCGGTGTTGGGCAACGCGCTGGTCGTCATCAGCGTGGTCCGGCACAGGAAGCTACGCATACTCACCAACTACTACGTGGTGTCGCTCGCGTTCGCCGACTTCCTGGTGGCGTTGTGCGCGATGTCGTTCAACGCCAGCGTGGAGATCACCGGCAAATGGATGTTCGGCTACATCATGTGTGACGTCTGGAACAGCCTGGACGTGTACTTCTCGACGGCGTCCATACTGCACCTGTGCTGCATCAGCGTGGACCGGTACTACGCCATAGTCAGCCCGCTCCAGTATCCGATCACCATGACGCAGCGGACGGTGCTCTTCACGCTGCTCAACGTGTGGACCTTGCCCGCGCTCATATCGTTCCTGCCCATATTCTTCGGCTGGTACACCACCGCCGAGCACCAGGCGTTCAGGTATCAAAACCCCATGTCGTGCATATTTGTCGTCAACAAGTACTACGCCATCATATCGTCGTCAGTGTCGTTTTGGATACCCGGCATCGTTATGATCGTCATGTACTACAAGTGAGTACGACTCTTTGTTTGACTACTTAGGATGGGATTCGGATATTTTGAAATTTCCAATCTTCAGAAAGGAAAGTTGAGTCACAGCAAGGAATCTACAAATGTATTTGGACCGTTGGTTATGAATACTATTTCATAATCAATGGTAACACTTAGGTACAACCCATTTTGAGCCCGTCCGCCCTTTGTTTTTACATGAAAACCATATGAGGAAACTGACTCAAAATTTACTGAACGGGTTAATATTGAGTATTTAAAACACTGGCTGGGGCTTAATCGCGATTAAAAATACAGTGACTGCACAACACGATAAGGACAAATTATATTCGTAGATTCTAACAACATCGCAACTAGTTGTTGAGAACTAATAGATAATAATCAGGGCTATTGAAACCGGTTTTCGAAAAAAACGGTTAAAACTACAATAAAAAAAAAAAAATGCCAACCCGACTAAAACCTGTAGAATTTTTGAATCGAATTCAAAAACGAAACCCAAACCCAACAGAAATCGATAACTGCTTTTAAAATTCAAACCCAAACCGAAACCAAAGTATTCAGAACCCGGTTTTATAACTGAAACTAATTGTATCGTAAAACATATTACTCGTATTATACTTTTTAAAAAAAATTGACTGTGTGTTACATGGTTAAAAGACTTGAAAATTAAAAATCTTGAACTCGATTTATTACAAACACTAAAAAGCTATTTTTTCTTGAAATCGGTAATACTCTGATAACCAAAACTAAAAATCACTATCATTCAAAATCGATGTTATTGACCTAAACAAAAACAGATTTTTTCCAAAATGGGACAGAAAATTAGCTGGAAACTATGAAAAATCCAACAGGCTTCAGCCCAGAAAAAGCTATACAATTTTCTTGCTGGATCTTGTTGCATTTAAATTTTTATGGTTATAAGCGCTACTTCGTGATTCTATTATCAAGCTACTGGACTCACTATATTGTATACCACCAATATGGTTTTAAATTATTCTAATCTAATTGATCTAAATCTCACTTGAACTTGTTTTGCTTGCTATACGATGCCATCCAGGTAGTCTGCGAACAAAAGTAAGGGTAAATAGAGAAAGACCGGATATTTAATCTAAAATATAAACCTAAATTATTTAGGTCCGAGATGTGTTAAGAATGTGTGGTTTGAGTAAATGAATTTCTAACTACTCTCTTAATGACTTTTAACAAATCCACGACCCTAAGCATATACGATAAACATTCAACCGTGTTAACTTATCTGGATAATAATTTTTGAATAAAGCCAATTATTATTTGTTTTTTTTTATTTAGTTGAATAAAACAAATCTAATTTGTATGCGATTCACCACTTATAAACAAATTATTATAAAATGTTTTTAATTGATACAAAACCATTTTCTTTAAAGTTAATTCAGATGTTGAAAAATAATAATAGATTTTTTCCATTAACTATCGATTATACAAAATTTGATATTATGAAAATCGTAAATATGAAAAAGTTTAGACCGGTGTATAGAGATTACAGAAAAACGTTTGAATTTGTAGCATATTGCATTAACTGCAGTTTGAAAAAATAATCATTAAAGTTCACAGATATAAAATATTCTCAACAGTCAACCCGTTTTTCGCAAGGGTTAATAAATATTTCATTGACTAAAAATTGATTTTATGGTGGTCGAACTATTTTTATGGTAAACTATTGTAAGGGTTTAAACATTATTAGGATTTTTTATTTTATTTTTATATTTGTTTTGTTTTATTAACTTCTCCATTCGGTTAATAAATATTAGAGCTCGACCGTTTTAATGTTTAATTTTTAGAACAAATCTATGGGGTTCCACTTTTCAGCAATGGTCAAGTGAATATAAGTTATATGAATAAGTTATATTGTCTTTTTCTAAATTTAGATTTAACAAATAATGGTGTAAAGCATCCTATGGTATATCCTGCAAATATTTTATACAAAATGGCATACAATTTCAAACACATGATGTGTTCTTATTTCACTAGTGACCATAACAAAAACAAGTGTTCAACCTAACCGCATGGGGCGAGAGACTACTCAGGGTCCACTTAGTTTTTGTCTTTGTCGTTATTATCTCACGTGAATGGGCCCACTGACCCAGATCCATTTTTCCAAATTTTTCTCCATCTATACACACCTCCATGACTTTATTCATATCTTCTTCTACGGATTTACTACTTCATCCCCTTCCCATTTTGGCTGTGCCTATGGAAATTAGGTAAATTAAGTAAAGGATTTTGTTTAAAACATAGAAGAATTATTTATGGAGTACTGTAGTCTGTATTAAAATATACTGAATATTAATACGTTGTGATATGGCCTAAATAAATCAATATTTTCTTCTGGCCCTCGAGATTGACTTATAAGATTATCTCTGCGGATTTTTAAACATCTTATTTATAGTTTAATCATTCTTTACAACCATCATAATTGAGTGCACTTTTTTAAATATTTAATATTTTTATCCGAGGGAGTTTTTTTTGTTCATAAATAGAAACGTTGTATGTACATTATTATCTACTCATTATCGCGGCGCATGCTTATCTACCTTTTTCTATAGAACGCAATTAGTTAACCTAAGCGTAGACTTATAAAGGTCTTTTTTATTTTTATTGTTTTAATCCTTCGGTATAATCGTATGGTCAGAGTTGGATATTATTTAGATAATTTTTTATCTAAGCAATTCTTTAAATAATTTTTTTTTCCGAGTAATTATTAATCAAATAAAAACAAAACTTTGATTGAATAATTTACTCTTAAGTTTTTTGAATATTTTATTATTTTCTTAAGCTAACTAATTTGTTGTTGGCATAATTTAAAATAAACTTTATTGAGATTATTCGTAAAAAAAATGTTTGAATAAAATAGTTATTCGAAAAAATCATCTTAAATAGTATCTCGAATAAAGAGATCATTCAAATAAGTTAGTTAGTATTCGTTATTCGAATAAAAAATACCCAACACTGCGTATGATTTAATTATTAACTCACACAAACGTTTTGACAGCAACTTTAATAGATAAATACGCATGACTTCCTACATATTAAGCCACGTCGAATTAAGCTCACACCAACGTTAGGCGTGTGATATCAGCTATCAAACAAATACTTGTTTTGTTAATCTCTGGATTTATATTCCCAACTAATGGTGATCACGGGCCGAGTCCAATTACTCGATTATACGATTGTAAAAGCGCCTCGGTCAAATTACCAAACATCTATTCAATTAAATGTCATCAGCTGGAAATTGGTTATTTGTTTTCGTTTAACAACAGGAATATACATTTAAGCTTGTTTTATTGGAAAACACATGGTATGGTATGCTACGCTTTCTTAATAACATTATGTGCGGTCTGATAGAAACGTTGAAACCTCAAATGAAAAGCTCATTTAGTTATTTATTTACGTTTAAATTTCTATACATGCGTCGGTATTATAATTAATAGAATTAGTGGCTTTTCCACGTGATATTTTTATCAGAACATCAAAACTTTCCAAACAACCAACGTTCAACATACTCGAAATATATTTGGGTTAAACTCGTGGCAAAGTCTTGCGTCCATAAAATATATAGCCGTTGCTCTTAAATTCATTTCCAATAGGCTCTCCCTTTTGAAGGCATAAATTATCATATGAAACCGCATACGAAGGTGTGAACTATATTCAACAACGACACAGAAAACGCCTCTCGGTTGGGTTATTGATGGGCGGAATAAACGAAACTAAAACGAATAGGAATTTCAAATTTTGAATTCTCGATTTTCTAACAATACACTATCATGCGGGCCACTGCAAAAGCACACTCGGTTTTTAAAGCAGTGCCATACCTATTGTATTGATAATATTATATTACATACATTTGATGTAACGCATTTCTACCCAGAAACAGCAATTGGACTGTAAAGCCAGAGTTGGACAAAAAAAGAAAATTAAAGGTTAGATTACAACTATAATTATATTTTTATCTTCGATTCGGTTTTTATTTCATTCATACCAAAGTATTAAGAAGATACATGTATATTTTGTGTAGCTAAAATTACTATTTAAACAATGAAATGTTGTCGTTCGAAGAGAACCATTTTATAGTATACTGTACATGTGATTTGTTCCGATTGTTTTGACTTTGTTAATCGTATGTAAAGTAGAAAAACACATATAAACCCCAAATGAAAATAAATACCAGCAGCTCAATTTGGTTTTCGCTTTTTGTTTACCACGCGTCCAACGGGTTTTGGCTGAGTTGGCTCATTCCATCAGCTGATAGTCTCGAACAGAGCGATTCAAATCACATTTACACTAACAGCTAACTGTACCTACTTGGTGTGTAAACAGCATTAAACCTTCGCTCTTGACGTTAACCCGGCACGGCCTTAAGTCGTCTACCCGTCGTCAAATCGTTACTTTTTCAACGTAAACGCGGTTACGGTTCGTAAATACCGTTTGAGATTTGCATTTATTTTTCTTCGCCCGTCTTATTTGAACTTATACGTACGAACACGACCAAATCGTAATACTACTTGCTTGCTACTATATAGTACTTACTTTGAATGTTTTATCCACGCGGGTTTCGCAGAATTCGTTCGAGCCGTTGCCGGCTATAGAGCTTTTATTTGAGGCATTACGTTTTCTCAATAGCGCCGGCTAATTTGAAAACCATTACGATTAAACATTAATACACTACGTGCCGTCATACAGACTCGAGTCAAAACAGTGTTGATTAACTGCAAAGGTTTTTGAATGTGTGTGTGTGTGTGTGTATGATTAAAGTATAGCCAAACCGGAGAAGATGCCGCATGCCGATCAAAGCTACTTTTTAATATTTTTCACAATCCGTGAAACGTACGTTTCATGGTTCTAGTAAGTAGTGTACAGTACGAATAGTTGTCGCAGTATCATTAATGGCTGTATAAATCGGGTTCGACAAAATTTAATTATAAGATTAATAATAATTCAAGTTGCACGCGTCGTTTCGTTTCTTTTTG